GACAGGCTCCAAAACAATACAGAGAAACCCTGACTCAAGAAAACAAAAATTTGTTTTCTGCATCAATCTGTACTGTTAAATGCTTGTAAGGTTGGGATCAGCACTGCTGGGTGTTCTTGACTTCTGACCCCAGACCTCAAACATGTGCACTTCAACACTGTCTACCAAGACACCAATTGCCTTTTAAGGTGGCCTGTGGCAAAATAGCCCTGATTTATTTTCTTGTTCAGGAAAGCCCTTCTGCTCCTGACACCTACAAGCTATCCCTGAAGGCTTTGCATTGCAAAATCCTAAACAATCACCCTTCCAGGTCCAGAAATGGAGCAAGCATAGGAGGGTTTTTATTTTAAAGTTTTTAGCTATGTATCCCAGGTTGGTCAATCAAGTTCATGAGTGCTTTGACTTATTTTTTACTACTGATAGTGTGTGTGTGTGTGTGTGTGAGAGAGAGAGAGAGACAGACAGACAGACAGACAGACAGACAGACAGACAGAGTGTATACCACCTATGTTTGGGTGCCTGGAGGCCAGAAGAGGAAGGAGACATCAGATGTTCTGATGTCCTAGTGCCGAGTAACAGGAGGATGGTTGGAGCAGCCTACAGTAGATGACAAAGAACAAAACTCAGGTCCAAGAGCAGCAAGCTCCTGGGCTCCTGTTCTAGACCTGGGATAAGAGTTCGGGGTTCCATTATAAAACATAGGCTCTCAACTATAATATATATATATGTGTGTGTGTGTGTGTGTGTGTGTGTGTGTGTGTGTGTGTGTGTGTGCGTGCGCGTGCGTGCGTGCGTGCGTGTGTGCGTGCATGTACGCGCTCTCTCTAAAAACATGGTCTCTTTTACCTTAGGTCAGCCCCTCCATTCATTATGTAGCAAAGGACTTCAAATTTGGAAGCCTATAACCTCCTGAATGTTGAGAGTAGGTCTGAACCAACCATTCTGAGCTTATTTCTGATTTTTTTCCCCACATTTGTTTCTCCCCCTGAGAAACAGTTCTTTTTTCGGGATATGGGGACATGTTGAGACAAAAGTCACACAAGGCAGCTATGTCTGTCCTGGAACTTGCTATCTTTATTAATAAAGATAATAAAGTAAGGAGATTAAAGTGGTTGGCCCAGCACAAAACAGCAAAAAGATTTTTTTCTCTGTGTAATCCTGGCTGTCATAGAATTCACTCTGCAGACATGGCTGGTTTCGGAGTCACAGAGATATCCCTGCTGGAACCACAAGGTGGTACCAACATATCTGGCTACCAAAGCAAATTAGGGCTGAGACATTTAGGGTTTTTAGGTTCTCATTTGCCTTCCACCTGACTCTAAATAATATGGCGGTGGCTCTCTGGAACCTTCATTAAATATTCATTTATCATATAATATATATATATATGCCATGACATTAATGATGTAGAATCAAAGACAGATTTGTGTTAGCCAGGCAGTGGTCACCATGCTTTTAATCCAGCACTTGGGAGGCAGAGGCCAGCCTGGTCTACAGAGTGAGTTCCAGGGCAGTCAGGACTCTCACACACAGAGAGAAACCCTGTCTCAAGAAACCAAAAAACAAACAAAAGCTCCATTGTTATCTAAGCTCTGAACTGAGCTATCAAGTCTTCAGGATGCCAGCAGTGGAACAGGTTGCCATGGGAATAGACAGCTTGAGCCTCTGCACACTTATCCTACCCCAGAGGTTTGATACTGGAAGCCAGGGCTCTGGGCACATTCATGCCACTATTAACTAATTTTTCAGAACCGTGCATGTTTCCATATTCCCTTAAGTCACCAAGTGCAATATTGTGTGGATTCACAAGAACTCTACCTACTCACTAAGCATGAATTATTTTGTGGGCATCACAGTTAATACATTCACATAAAATATATATAATGTATCATGGTGACTTGCTTAATATGGAGCAATCAGTGGGAAAGATACTACTTTTTACAAGTGGTAGGAAAGACGTAGGAAGGCAGGGTACTCTGTCTAGTTAAAGGCATGGGCTGTCCTGAGTGATTGATTGGTGTGTGGCCTGCTGATGGCAGAATGCTCTGGTAGTTCCTTGAAAAATACATTGGACCCTATGTATTTCAAGCCTGATTTAATTGATCTCTGGACCACTAATAGAGAAAGGAGACAATTAACTCCAAAACTAGTCCTTTGAACTCCATGTTATGGAGTATGTGCCCATACAAACACATACATGCAAATAAATGCTTAATGATTTAAAGGAAAAAGAAGTGTAAGACCCTCAGAATGAGGAGTCTTCCAGGTTCGGTCGATACCCCAAGATTGAACTTTTGAAACTTCAGCTAAATGATGCGTATGTATGTGTTGACTGTGAGTTCTCCAGCCTGGCCATGCATTTTCAGCTGCTTCATGGTTGCTTGGCCTCCTCAGAGTCCCCATCCCAACCCCCCAGCAGAGCTCTGGGTAGCAGTGGCTATCTTGCCTGCCTCTGCCTCCCCTGCATTGGGATTGATAATAGGGGTGTGTCACTACATCCTTTTCCTCATAAGCTCTTAGTGAGTGCTTGCTATTTTTGCATTGGTGTTACAGTTAGGTCAGAATCCCTTGGTTTAAAACTGAGTAGGATGTGTACCATTTTCTTGTTCCCTCCCTGCCTCCCTCCCTTCCTTGGTTCCTTCCTTCCAGATAAAATCTTACTTACAACATGGTATTTGGTATGTGTCTCAGGCTGACCTTGAACTGAACTCATTGTAGGGCTCCTGACTCAGTTTGCTCTAGATGCTTTCAATGTGGGCATTGAGGACATGTTATTCTTCTTATTATTTGAAGACTGTCTCATTTTAGGTGAAGCTCCTGCCTCGGCCTCCAGAGTTAGTCAAAAGTGTTGTCACCATGTATAGCTTCAGTAGGTCTGCGCGCCCCCCCCCCCCATCTGTGAATTAGTTAAAATTTGTGGATGGCAGGGCACTTGGGAGGGGATGTTCAGTGGGAAACCTAGGAACAGGGGAGTATGTAGCTCATTAGTAGAGCATTTGCTTTAACATGCATGAGACCCTGGGTTCAAGCCACAGCATAAATAAATAAATAGGAACATAACACATGCTGTACAAGGAACATGAGTTTTAATGGCAGCCTCAGAGCCTCAGAAGGGAGGGTAATGAAAACACACCTTCCGGCCCTCACTCAATTCTGAATTTCTGGTTGTGGGAATCTGCAAGTGGAAAACCCATTTTTGGCCTTAAAGCAAGGCAAGCTATCCTGCCAATCCTGCAAATGCACTGCAGAAACTTTGGCCCCAGGAGGCAGGAGCTTAGGCTTGCTTCCCAAGATCTGTGCAGCTGTCAAGGTGGCTGGGATGGGACTGTGATCTGTCCCTGTACAGTCTTTTGGCAGTGTCCTTGGTACCAGCCCAACTTGCCAAGCCACTCTGGTCCTCTGCCACTATAGTATTTTCAGCTGTTTGTTCTAAGAAGAGCAAGGGAGCTAACGGAGGGAGACTGCTCTTGGTACCACCTTTCCTGGTGTCTGACAGGTGTCATGTCACATGCTGCCAGAGTCTAATGGCTACCACCTACTGAGATGGGGTGCAGTCCAGGTGTGTGTGTGTTTACGCACTCACATATGTAGATGTGTGCATGCTTGCACACGGTTGAGGGAGTTGATGGTATAGTCATCCCAGAGTCAGGTTCAGCGTCTGTGGAAGGTGGGTGGTTGACTTCTAACATGGTGTGCAGGCAGGCTCCACCTGGGAACCGCTCTGGAGAGAGAGGCTTGGTTGCTATTGATCTTGGAGAAGAGCCAGAAATGCCCCCTTTCCCCCAAAGGTTCCGGTTGGAGTCTGAGACAAATTTCTTCGGGCACTGAAGGTCACCAGCGCACAGTCTTCCATCTATGTAGTCACCCAGAGAGTGGCAAGTGTATCTTGATAACGCCACCCCCTTTACTGTCTACATCCTGTCCTGTTTCACTTCTAAGTGGCCGATATTTTTGTTGTTGTTCGACTTTGTGGTTGGGCATTTATTGACAGAAATCAAATCCCGTTGTTTCTGGGCTAAGCGCCGCCGGCTGCACCGAGGTGTGGTTCCCAGGAATGAGACACGCAGCCCAACAGCTGAGCTTGCGCTGTCCTTACTTAACCTCCCTTCCTTCAATATCACCAATATTTAGTCTTGCCTTATAAAGTAAAAATGCACAATACCTTCCAGGGTTGCTGTGAGCCCTGATGCCCCCTTAGGCTCAGGGCTATCTCCTGCCGGGTGATACAGAGCAGCGTGACCCTCCCTGCACCAGCCTGTCCTGGTGCCACCCAGAAGTTCCTGCTCAGGGAGACTCCGCCATTGATCCAAAGGTGGCGACCTGGGGGATTTGCCAACATTGTCTCTTACAGAAGCCTCCTGTGATTTTGGTGGCGGCGACCAGATCCTCTGCAGAGAACTCCATGTCGCAGCTTGTGGCTGCCTGTGTCCTGTGGTGAGAGCCCAGCCTCACAGGAGATCCTTTGTCTGGGATAGTGCTAGGCTGCGAAGATCACTTTGGAGTCTCTAAGCTCTGCCTTGCCATTGGCTGCACTCTTTGTGGGGCTGTTTTTGCAAAAGGCATGCCCAGCACGTCTACAGTGCTGGCAGGCCAGGGCTGCCTTTAAACACCATGATAATGATACCAAAAGCAGTTTGCAGAACTGCTCTCTGTGGAGGCTTCCTCTGCAGAAGCAGGCAAGATGGCTACCTCGTGGGCTTCGCCGTGAAGAATGCAGAGGCTAATTAGGAAAGACTTTTAGGGGGAAAAGGGGCATTTCCCTCCATCTTTATTTATGCAAGGTTGTTGGGTTTTTCTCTACCCCCTCCCCCAGTGACTTTTAAAAGTATACATTTTACATGAGCTATTCAGGGACTGACTGACTAATATGTTGATGGTAGTAGTTTTTACAGAGAAGTAGCAAAAATTTTTTGGGGGAAGGGGGGAGCTGGTGTGTGTATATCAAATTAATGGAGGCTCATATTTCAATTTTGCTTTATTTATTTTTTTTTTAATTTTAGGTTACAAAAGAAAACCAGAGGCCCCAGAAGGAAAAGAAGCCCAAAGTTTCAAAGGTAATCAGCTGTTGATTAAATGATAATATCTTTTTTTCCATTTCATATAGTATTTTTCTGTCACATGAGGGTGAATTTGCAATATAGTGGATGTGGATTCTTCCAGGTTGTCAGTGGATACATGGATTTTCTCAACTGAAGTCTCCTTCTCCCTCCCCCCTTTCCCCTTGCCCACATTAGCATTTTTATACTCAGCTTCTTATAAGTCTTGCACAAAAGAAAAAGTTTATATGCATAGCATTGAGTAATTCCTTTTCCAAGTGAGCTCCTTTTGTACCCACCTGCATCTGTGGTTTTGCTCCTGTGGACTTTCAGCTCTATGATAGAGAGAAATTTCTTTTTAAACAACCAGAAAATACTATGGTAAATTTGCCCCCCAAAAGTGTGGGAAGGATAATGTCCTTATGCATGAGCACCTTAGAGCTACACTATAATTGCTTGATGTGAGGTGCTTCCTATGCCATCCTTAGTTTTGGCTGCCTTCAAATTTAAGGAATTCACATCTATATAGATATTACATGCTGATATAGATTGCATGCTGAGAGTTCAGGTGAACCTGATTTGGTTATCTCAGAATCTGTTTTCAGCTTTGTCCATGTTATTTACAAGAGTTAATTTTAAAACCTATGGTCTCACGAGAACACTAGCATCAGTCTAGCAAATTGCTTACAGGTTTAAGATTTCAAATGCTATACAGCAATACTATAAATGCTAGCAAACTTTTAATTTGTAGAAGAAATATTTAAGCAGTAAAACACCTGGTCTATAGAATTATTCTGTATGTTTAATGTAAAGGGACTTGAATAATCATAGCTTCGTGTTTGCAGATAAAGTTTTAGCTTTCCAGCATTCTGAATTGTGATCTCATTGGCTGCCCTGTTGTGTCCATTGGAAATGCTGGCGCTGACAGCTAGAAATTGCTTTGGCTTGCTGGTTTTACTGATCACCTTGAGGTTTCTGTTTCCTGTGTGCATTCAGAAAGGACACAAATATTATTCATCAAAGGAGAAGTGCTTACTAGAAATTGACCACAGAGTCAGCAAAGTGGTAGGCTCTGTGGAATGAGTGCAGCTCATTCTGTGAGTCCTGGACAGATCTGGTAGGTTGTTGTGTTTGTTAGAGCATTAAACATATTTTTCTTCCATCCACCCATAACCTATTATACATCCCAACTATATACTGTCACTGACTTTAATCACTCTTGTTGTCAGGCATTAAATTGTTCAAGTGAGAATGTTATTGGGTTGTGGTGGTTGCACATGTGTAATCCTAGCACATTGTATGTGGGAGCATTCAGGGCCAGCCTCAGCTACATAGTTAAGTTTGAGATTAGCCTGGGTTGTTTGAGAGACCCTGTCATTTTCGAATAAAGTTTTCTCTGCCAACTCTAGCTGTCTGGAATTCTATAGCCCACCTCTATCTGCCCTCCTCTATCACTCCAGTGCTGGAACCCTGTCTTAAAACAAAAAAGAAGTGATTTAGTGTTGATGTTGTCAATTGCTCATGAAATGGGTAGGGATGATGCACGTGTGCATGCCTGCATGCCTGTGCAGAATGTATGCAGAACTAATTGTGTTCTCTAAGTTCCACCCTTATTAGGCAGTGGGAGTTCATTTAATTCTGTTTTGTTAATCTATGTGTGTCTGTCACCTGTTATTTGTCAAGTAAACAAAGCACATATTTCTTGGGGGTTGTCTGTGGGTGTTTTGGAGGGTGTCTGTGGGTGGCCTAATTTATTTTGACCCAGGAAGGACTGAATTGTTGCTTACTAGCCATCCATAGTTGGTGTATGTTGAAGAATAGTAGAGATTGGCATAAACAACAACACCAGTACATATTTTTACTAGAATGAAAAGGTTTCTTTGGGGATGTGGGGGCAGGACTTGAAACAGTTTATTTGTAGACGGGGCTGGCCTCAGATCCACCTGCCTCTGCCTCCTAAGTACTGGGACTAAAGGTGTGCACCATCACCACCCAGCTGGAAAATATTATTGTTATTATAGTATATTTCTGTGTATGTGCAAATGAGTGCAGGTAACCATGGAGTCCAGAAGAGGGCGTCAGCTCTCCAAGCATTGAGTGACAGACAGGTGGAATGGGTGAAACTAGCTGAGTTGAGTGCCCTTAACTACAGAACCAGCTCTTCCATCAGTCATTTTATCCATTTTATTGTCTCCACACAATACTTGTGCATGTGCCCATAGAGGTGAGAAGAGATCTCCCATGGAATACTGATTTGTGAGCCACCATGTGAATGCTGCTATTGGACCCAGGTCCCGAAACAGGGACAAGTGCTCTTGGGAGCCATCTGTCTAGCCCCATCTTCCCAAGGTCTTTTTTTCTTCTTCTCATATGGTGATGTATATCTAAAATCATTTTGAGCCAATGGTGGTTTATAGCTGTAAACCCAGCATGTGGGAAGCAGAATTCAACCCCTGGACTCCACTTCCAAAAGCTGTCCAGGGATCCATATATAGTTGGACGTGGAGGGTAGTAGTAGATGAGGCTAATAAAGGGGGATGTGATCAAAGAACAGTACACATTTGTGAAGTTACTGTTTTTTAAAAAGCGGCAAAGGTGAGGTAGGCTGAAGTCAAGCCTATGCCACTTTCAAAACTTAACCTGTAAGTCTTAACCATCACAACCATGTGGGTATTCTGGGAAGTGTGCACATAAGTCTTCTCCCGGATCCTGTTCCTTCATCGCCAGGAGATATACTCCAATTATTTGAAATAACTGAGAGAATACATACAGCAATGTCAATGAATATTAAACCAGAAAGCAGTCTGCATTGGCATCTTCTAAAGACATGATCTTGTATCAACCCTCCTTCCTTGATGATGCTGATAAGGAAAAACAAGAATGGGCGTTGGGAGGAGGAAGACATCAGTCTTGCTTGACACTAGTGGAAGACAGGACACTTGCACATATCATATATCTTTGCATACATGAAAGCATGGTCTTGAATGGCACAATTTTCAGAAGTAATCCCTTGCCTCATTTGAATATTCCCTAAAGGATTCTAAGTAATATGGGTGTTTGTAGTACACGCGCGCACACACACACAGTCGTCCAATGTGTTACCTGCCGCAGCTAGGAAAAAAATCCAAGTGAATAAATTATAAATTGTGCTCACTGCTTAGAAGGAAGGAAAAGTAAAACCTAGTGCTTTTTAGGTTTTTGTTTCATGGTGTTTTGAAACAGGATGCAGGGTGGTTAACAGAATTATCAGTTGTATCTTTGAGACATACTATTTCCTTCATTTTTCAATTGTTTCTAAGTGCTCTAAGGCTGCATTACTTAGATTTCATACCTTTTTATTTTTTAAATGTTTTGCAACAGTTTAGTTTTGTTTTTGTTTTTTATTATTTTCCAAGATAGGGTTTCTTTGTGTGGCCTTTGCTGTCCTGGCAATAAGTCAGAGATCCTCCTGCCTTTGCCTTCTGAATGATTGAAGGCATTAACCAGCACCTGAATTATTAAAAAATTTTAAAATGATTTTATTTATTTTTTGTTCATCGGTAGTATGTTATGTCTGTGGATTCCCTGGAACTGGAGTTACAGCCAGTTATGAGCTCTCCATGTGGTTGCTGGGAATTGAACTTGGCTCTTTCGTAAGAGCAGTCTGTGCTCATAACCACTGAGCCATCTCTGCAGCTAATTGTTAACATTTTTAAAAGAAATATGGTGTCAGGGTGTGTGTGTGGGGGGGAGGAAATGGTTGTTGTTATTGGTGCCACACTCCTTTAATCCCAGAATTCAGAGGGAGACCAGGACAGCAAGCACTGCACAGTGATACCCTGTCTCAGTCACCAAAAAATGAATGAAAGAAAGAATGCTAAAAAGGATGTGGTGTGTGTGTGTGTGTGTGTGTGAGATCAGACTTCCCATGATGTAATCATACCACTTGACATGATAGCCTTTTTCTGTTTTCTACATAGAACTCACAGCTATGGGCATGAAATCTCAGAGTTCTACATGTAAGGGTCCATTGGGAGGGAAGTCTGGGGAGTTTCCATAAGAAATATCAGCTTGCCCGGCAGTGGTGCACAAACCTTTAATCCCAACAGGTGAATCTCTTGAGAGTTAGTTCCAGAACAGGCTCCGAAGCTACACAAATCCTGTCTCTCCTGCTGACCCCCCAAAATATTATCTAGCCAGGCAGTGGCAGTCCATCCCAGGGGGCAGATCTCTGTAAATTCAACGCCAGCCTGGTGTATAGAGGTAGTTCTAGGGCAGCCAGGACTGTTACACAGAGAAAACCAGTCTGAAAAAAAAAAAAACCAATAGTAATTCTATCACTGAAACCTATTCTAAAAAAGAAATGGCAGTTAATCTGGACATGATAGTAATCCCACCATTGTGGAGATAAACACAGGAGGAAGCCAGCCTGCTCTATCTACATAGTTGAGACCTCATCAAGAGTTGCTCAGGGACATGCTCAGGAATGTAGCTCAGTCTGTAGAATACTTGTTGCTTAAGTGTGTGAACAAAATCTTGGTTCCCCTTCCAACACCTCACAAAACAAATGGTCCCAACCACCGAGATGGTGGAGGCAGGAAAAGTAGGTTCCAGATTATCCTGTTATATTGAATTCTATGTTAGTCTAAATTACATGAGACACTGTTTTGAAACACACACACACACACACACACAGAGCTAGGAGAGAATAATTTCAACAGAAGGGGTTGTACACACAGAGCTAGGAGAGAATAATTTCAACAGAAGGGGTTGTGTGTGTGTGGGGGGGGGGGTCAGCCTAGCACAGTTTAAGCCATGTGCTCTGTAGCAACATTCATTCACAGGCACACAGGGGGTTTCTGGTTTGTATTCTTAGAACTGTAACCAACCATTTTGCCTAGAAATGATTAGACCTATCTCAAGGCTGGATTCATGGTGGACCTTCCCATGTGTAACCATTTGTTTACCACTGCATTGTGGAAATCTCTAATAATCTAAGATGCAGGTCCAACTGTGTACTGATTTGCACCTGTAATTCT